TTTCCTTTTTGCCTCTAGACTTTGATCTGAAATTTCGCCTTCCAGATCCCTCTTTCTCTTTCTTCCTTCCACGATCCTGCTTACTCTTCACATATAAACTGTCACCGTGAGAGCTTTCCCCTGCATTCTGCTTCCGCTGTTATGAGTCAACAACGTTGCAGTAATCTCATCAACTTTGATAGTCTCTTTCCCATATGTCAGAGTAGTCACCAGGTTTTTCATAAGAAGAAGACAGCGAACACAACAAAACCATCGCTCGATCTTCATCCTCAATACTCACATCAAGTCGTGATAAATCGGTGAATATTTGATTGAAGTCATTCACGTGCTGTGTCAAATCAGAACCTTCCTGCATCTTCAGCTCATACAGCTTTTGCTTCAGATACAACTTCGTCAGAAATTTTGCCATAAACTGAGTTTCCAACTTCCTTCCAAACTTCTCCTTTTCAGATTCATCACGTGATACATAACTTCGTCTGCCAGACATAGTCGTATCGTCGCTGCCGCTCGCTGTTGCAATTCTTCCCAATCTTCATCCTCCATGACATTTGGTTTTACTGCCCGCAGAGCTTTCAAGATTCCCTGTTGAGCCAACAGATCTTTCACCCTGGTTTGCCACAATCCGAAGTTACCAATTCCGTCGAACTTCACCACCTCGAATTTCGCACCAGAAAATGTCATCTGAAAATTATTCCTGCAACAAAACTTTCTACAAAAATCCTTGCTTAGAATTTTTTTTTTGAAAAAGAAAAAAAAATGAAATAAATTCTTAATTAAGCTTCCTTAATCAAGACTTCCTTAATTAAAATATTAACTTTAATTAACAAATTTCAAAAAAAACTTTCCTTCTTTCTCTGGAACTTCCAGCCTCTCTCCACTGAATGAAATTGGATGCTGATCGCGATCTTCCAATTCTGCCTCGTGCTTTACGATTCCAATTTCCAATTTCGCCTCCAACAGAATTTTCGGAATTTAATTTGGAACCTATATTCCAGGCAAGAAAATTCTCATGGAAACATTCCTTCTTGCTCTCCGCAACAACAGCAAAGGCAATTTTGCAATTCAAGCGAAATTTGTGAGGGAATATTCCTCTCCAGATTCCTCTCCAGCAAAGAATGTTCTTCCTCCGCATCGGAATTCCTTCCAATTTCTTCTCCTTCCAGCGAAGCTTGATTAAAGGTTTCCTTCTGCAGCCTACCAAAGAATCAAAGATTCCTTGATTTGATTCCTCCACAGCAAAGAAAGGCAGAAATATCTCCTTCCTTCAAAGGTCCTCTCCCCAAGCCAGCCACCAATGGAAAGTTCCGAAAATTGCCTCCTTGCCTCCGCTCCTTCCTTTTTCTGTCCGATGGCGTCTCCCGCGCGATCTTCTTGTCGGTCCGAGACCTCCGCTTCCTGCCGCAAAGACCTCCGCTTCTCCTTCGCGGAAGAACACTCTCGCGGAACTTCGTGTGTCGCGATCCTACTCCGCGAATAGTCTTCTTCCCGCGACGCGATCTTCTTCCCGAGAGTCGAAGCCCGTTCGTCTTCGAAATTTCTCTGCGCCAGATCTTGGAAGCTTGCAGAAATTCTTCCCTAGCCGCTAATCTCCTCTGCCAAAATCTTCTTTATTCCTGCCGCCGCCGCAGTTTTCTTCCCTGCCCTCGAACCAGACTCTGATATCACTTGTTGAGAAAATTAGGGCGAAGAAAAACAAGAAGAAAAACAATAATCGACATAAAAACAATAATCGACATAAATCCAGAAGAACATAGAGATTTAACGAGGTTCGGCAAAGATGCCTACGTCATCGGGAGCAGAGCGACGAGTTCATTTCAATATTCAGAAAATGGTTTACAGAAAACAAAGATACCTCATGGGGTTACTAACAAACCTATTGATAACCCCAGGAGTAAACCCTAGGCACAATATGTAATTACAGCATTACCCCTGTACCATACCGCAGGGCTTTGCCCCAGCACCCAACCCACGTAACTTCCCAATTTGAACAGATTCTTCCGCTCCGCTTCGCTCCGCTCCGCTTCGATCCAGCGTCTGTCCCGATATGATATATGAGCCATACCATAACAGTCTCATATTTTTTTCATCATAAATATGTTAAGAAACATGACTTGTTTTCAAATTTATGTAAAAAAAATCAAATAACTTTATAAATTTCAAATCTTGAAGGGAGAAAAGTAATGGCATATGACAAAGTATCAGCAACACATAAATAACATCAAATTTTAAAATAGAGAACTAGCATTTTGATAAAATAGTGAAGTAAAAATAATAAAACTAAGATATTTAAGAGATGAACTGAAAAAAATCATGAATTAAAAAAAAAAAGAACAAAATTTAATGCCATAAGATTCCGTGAACGAGCAACAAAACATTCTTCGTGGACGAGTAACAGTCTCGTAGACGTAATAAAATAACGTAATAAAATTACATTTGTGAGGGCAAACAACCACCATGAGAGTGGTTGATAATTTAAGATTTTAGTGTTGTACAATGATCCAACACACAAATAATTTAGAAGTAGTAGAAGGGGACCCAAGATTTTTTATGTGGAACTACGATGCCAGCCAATTCAAAGCATTCTATAAATGTGTAATCACAAAGAAATCACACTTTTATCAAAATTGAGAGAATAGGGTTACAACTTCACATCAAATAACATAAAGTTTCAAGAGTCCAGAGAAAATCACAATATTTGGAATATTACACACGTAAGCAGTTGTCTTCGAGAGTTATCACTGAATCTTTAATACAACGTTATTTGCTACATCATATTCTGGATACGGTGTTACACTGTATTTAGGATACAATATTACACCGTATTCTGCATATGTCGTTGCACATTAATGTTCATCAACGATGGCTTTAGAGGCAAAGGGCGGGCAGGGTTTGATGGTGGTTGCAGCGATTATGGAGGCTGTAAGTTATAATCAGCTTTTCAGTCCAGAACAATATTTGAATTGACTCTTACTCTTTCAAGTGAAGAGAACGAATATATTTATAATATCTAAGATAGGGACATTTTGGTCTTTTGGCAAATAACTCTCGTAACCACCTGATCGAACAATCTATATTAATCCCTCTATATCAAAAGAACTTTTTAATGATTTGAGGGTCATAATAATCTCAAAAATTATGGAGCTTAGACTCATTGATTTCCTCTCGTCGAGATGTTCGATTTGAATATAAACATGTCAAATTTGAAGTTCAATTTACCATCCATTTAACAATCTGAAACCTTAAAAAAATGTTTTAATGGCTTAATCTGGAATTGATCGGACTTTGATCAAACCAATTTCCATTTCATCGAGTTTATCTTGTAGAGACGGCACGTTTAACCATAAACTTACTGAAATCAAGCATTGGATAATCCTTAATTTGAACCAAGATTCTTCCTTATTAAAAAATACCTCTAGGTTCATATCACACAGTCAACTTTAGCGATGCTATTATTATTATTATTATTATTATTATTATTATTATTATTATTGTTGGAGAAGTAACGTGGTGAGCTGAATGGCATGTAATATTGTGACATTAGGTAGGCTTTACATATTATACAAGTAAATTTAAATTTTATGGTGTTAAATAAGTAATTTGAGAAGTCAAAATGGCATATGTAATTTGACAACTTCAAAGTGCAACGTATTAAAATTAAAAAAAAATAAAAAAACAATGTCACGGCCTAATAAATAAATTCAAAATCATCTTCCTCACCACCTCTCAGTCAACCCTTCCCATCCATTTTTATTTTGCAGTCTAAAACTACAGATTTACAGCTCTCCATCTGTAAGTTATTAGGAATAACAGTTTACCTACCTCAGCCCAACTCTACCCTTATAAAACCCTAATCAGCCTCCACAGTCACCTCCACCTTCCAAACCCTAATGTTCCAACTTCCACCCTCATCCTCCTCTACATTCCCACAAATGGCTCTCAACCAATCCCAACTCACCCTCGTCTCCTTCCTCATCTCCACCCTCCTCGCCGCTACCGCCGCACAGTCATCAAACTCCTGCAATTCAGCTCTCGCAAGCCTGTCGCCCTGTCTGAACTACATCACAGGCAGGGCAACAACGCCACCGAGCTCGTGTTGCTCCCAACTCCGCTCATTGGTCAATTCGGAACCTCAATGCCTCTGCACGCTGCTCAACGGAGACGCCGGTTCGGCGTTTGGTATCTCCATTAACAAGACTCAAGCGCTCGCACTGCCCGGCGCCTGCAACGTTCAGACGCCGCCGATCGACCAATGCAGTAGTAAGCTTCATCTTCATCAAAATTCTTGTTTTCCTTTGTTTAGATCTATTTGAGCTATTTGTTAAAGCTGGAGTACTGTTTTGCAGCATCTTCGTCGGCACCGTCCAGCGGTTCTCCATTGTCTCCGGACAGTCCTTCGGGCGGTGGATCGAACGATGTTCCATCAGTGGGCACAAGTGCAGCAAATGGAAGCACAATTGAAATTTCTATCAAGCTTGTTCTCAGTTTGATTTTTGTGATTGTGTTTTCTTCTGCTTCAGCTTTCAGTGTATAAGATTTCTGGAGTTGATGTTGGTTTTTGGGATGATTAGTATTATTTTTCAGGGTTGTTGCTGCATTACCGTTATATGAGTAATTATGTTGAATACACAGATTTGTATTGGTTAGTTCTGTTGGTGAAGGATATGTAGTCATTAATCTACTAAATACAGATTTTCTGCCTGTTATTAATGATTTTAGTTTAGCTAAACTGATCGAAGCTGAAGATCTATATACATACATCATAACTCTTATATATTTACATCTAAATTATAGTATACATACATACACATACATACATACATACATATACATATACATACATACATACATATAGACACATATATATATATCTATAACATTCAAATCTTTAACATAACATTTTTGTTTACGAGCCATAGTACTTTTTTGTGTGTATATTTTGATGTTATTATGAATATAAAAATTTAACCTAGAAACTTCTATACTCTTAGAATTTTTCTAGAAAAACTTACTCTAGATTCTTTCTAGTTACATATTTTAGAATGTTCTCATTTAATATGAATACTATAGAATCTTCTACTTAAAATTAGATAGAATATTCTAGAATATTAAAGAAATAAGTGTCAATCTTATCACTTCTCTTTGATGTGAATTTTGATTACTACAATTATATTGGGCAATTGTTCAAATTATTGTTTTGGAAGTGCCTTTGTGAATATGTCTACTAATTGTTCTTCAGTCATGCAGTACATGAGTAAAATTTCTTAATTGGCCTAAGCTTCTCTAATAAAATGATTTTTAATACCAATATGTTTAGTTATGTCATAAAATACAAAACATTTTGTCATTATTATAATTGATTTGCTTTCAGAATAGATTTATATAGTTTCTTTTTGTGGCGCTCATATATTCTAGTATGTATTTTAGTCATATAGCACGGCTTATAGTTGTGGTAGTTGTAATATATTCAGCTTCATCCAACGATTATGCAACTATTGTTTTATTCTTTGATGCTCAAGTAAATGTTCCTGAGGCTAGTGTGAATGTACATCCTGATGTGCTCTTCATGTCATCCATTGATCTGACCCAATCAATATCAATATATCTAAATAGTCCTGAGCAATGAATGGACTCATACTAGATGTCATAGTTCATTATTCCTTGTAGATATCTAAGAATTTTCTTAACTGATACTTGATAAACATGGCTTGGACTTTGCATAAATATTGACAGTATACTTGTTGCATGCAAGATGTCGGGTCTCGTAGTTGTTAGATAAAATAAGCTTTCAATGAGATTTTGATTGAATCACAACAAGAATTTAGGTTATCAATGGTCAAACACCATCACTAACAATATATAAAACAAATGTAATATATTTGCTGATGGACTAGCTACAGTTCATTCGACATAACAAAAACAATTGTCGGTAATAAAATTACCTGCGAATTTATCGATGATTTATACATATCAATGATTATCAAACATATAATAACTATCATTGTTGATTCAATACCATAACATGTTTAGCCATAGTTTTACCATCAGTAACATAATCGACTTATATATCTGTAGGAAAAGTGTTGCACGTTTGAAGGAAAAGTGTTGCGCCTCCATCGGTAAAGTGCAGACAACCGTCGGTTAATCATGGAAAATTATTGTATCCGTAGCGAAAGTGCAGCACTGCTTAAATTTTGTTTGTTCAATAGCCCATCAAAAAAACTTTGGGACATAATCGAAGTGTCGTAAAACCATCGGTAAGCCGTCGAAAACTTGTCACAATAGAAAAGAAATTAAAGTCCTCCTTCATCACTACAATTTACACACTTGCAATTGAAACAACACAATCTACATACAACATAATGTTGCAATGAAACAAATTAACACATAAAGCATATGCATAAATAAAAGAAAAACAGTTGCATTAAACCAAACGAAATAAATAAATGTCCAATAAAAATATTGTTCACAACCAATAAAAAGTTTAACCTAAATAAACATAAAAAATAACAACAAGACATTTGATTTGAATATAAATATATCAAATTTGAAGTTCAATTTACCATCAAATTGACAATCTGAAACCTTTAAAAATGTTTTAATGGCCTGATATGAAATTTATCAGACTCTGATCAAATCAATTTTGATATCATCAAGTTCATCTTGTTAAGTTTGACTATAAACTTGCTGAATTTGAGGCATTGGATAATCTTTAATTTGAATCAAGATTCTTCCTTATTAAAAAATACCTTGAGATTCATATCACATAGTCAACTTTAGCAATGACATTATTATTATTCTTATTATTGGAGAAGTAACAGGGTGAGCGGAATGGTACGTAATATTGACATATTATGAGACCTTTACATGTTTACAAGTAAATTTAAATTTTATGGTGTTAAATAAATAATTTGAGAAGTCAAAGTGGGATATGTAATTTAAGAAATTCAAAGTGGATATAAAAATAAAAATAAAATAAAAAAAATAAGAAAACAATGTCATAGCCTTATAAATTAATTCAAAACCATCTCCCTCATCACCTCCCAGTCAACCCTTCCCATCCATTTATTTTGCAGTCTAAAACCACAGATTTACAACTTCTGCTTAGCTCTCCATCTGTAAGTTATTAGGAATAACAGTTTACCTACCTCAGCCCAACTCTACCCTTATAAAACCCTAATCAGCCTCCACAGTCACCTCCACCTTCCAAACCCTAATGTTCCAACTTCCACCCTCATCCTCCTCTACATTCCCACAAATGGCTCCCAACCAATCCGAACTAACCCTCGTCGCCTTCCTCATCTCCACCCTCTTCGCTATCACCGCCGTGCAGTCGTCAAACTCCTGCACTTCAACTCTCATAGACCTGTCGTCCTGTCTGAACTACATCTCAGGCAACACAACAACGCCACCCAGCTCGTGCTGCTCCCAACTCCGCTCGACCAATTTGGAACCTCAATGCCTCTGTACGTTTCTCTTCGGAGGTGGCGGGTCGGCTCTCGGTATCTCTATTAACAAAACTCAGGCGCTTGCACTGCCCGACGCCTGCAACGTTCATACGCCGTCGATCGTCCAATGCTTTGGTAAGGTTGATCTTCATCAAAATTTTTGTTTGCCTTTGTTTAGATCTCTTTGAGCTATTTGTCAAAGCTGGAGTTTTGTTATGCAGCTTCTTTGCCGCCGCCGTCTAGTGGATCTCCGTCGACGTCGGACACTCCTTCGGGCGGTGGATCGAACGTTGTTCCATCAGTGGATACAAGTGGAGCACATGGAAACACAGTTAAAATTTCTATCATGATTTTTGTCAGTTTGATTTTTATGGTTGTGCTTGCTTCTGCTTCAGTTATCAGTGTATAAGATTTCTTGAGTTGGTGTTGGTTTTGGGTGATTAGTATTTTTTCATGGTTTTTGTTGCTGTATTAGTTATGTTGAATACACAGATTTGTGTTGGTTAGTTTTGTTGGTGAAGGATATGTACTCATTAATCTACTAAATACAGATTTTCTGTCTGTTATTAATGATTTTAGTTGTGCTAAACTGATCGAAGCTGAAGATCTATATACATATATTATAACTCTCATATTTGTGTGTGTGTGTGTGTGTGTGTGTGTGTGTGTGTGTGTGTGTGTCTATATATATATATATATATAGTGCTCAAGTCTTTAACATGACATCACAAGTCTTTAACATGACATCATTTTTTAAAATGAGTCATGCAACTTTTTAATGTGTATATTTTGATGTTATTATGAATATCAAAATTTAAGTGATAGCTATGCAAAAACACAAGATAGATGTGTGTTATGTATGGAAGAATTATTGTATTTTATTGAGGCTTAAAATTGGTAGAATATATTTCTAACAACTTAAAATTCAACTCTATCTCTCGTAGAAGAAATGTTATATTGTTTAAAGTTGATTAATGAAAGAACTTAATTTCGTGAGGATATGATTTTTTGACTGACTATACAGCAAGATAAAGAGCTTAACTACTACTGTTGAAAATTTTTGAAGAGAAGATGAAAAATTTTATTAATAAATTTTGTTGAGTCATTTTCAACTTATATGATAACATCATGATCATGAGTATTTATATTCATGAGAGACTAAACCTAGAAACTTCTATACTCTTACAATTTTTTCGAGAAAAAACTTACTCTAGATTCTTTCTGGTTACATATTTTAGAATGTTCTCATTTAATGTGAATATTATAGAATCTTCTACTTAAAATTAGATATAATATTCTAGAATATTGAAGAAATAAGTGTCAATCTTATCACTTCTCCTTGATGTGAATTTTGTTTACTCCAATGTTATTGCGCAACAATTCAATTTTTTCTCTTGGAAGTGCCTTTTTGAATATGTCTACTAATTGTTCTCCAGTCATGCAGTACATGAGTAAAATTTCTTAATTGGCCTAAGCTTCTGTAATAAAATGATATTTGATACCAATATGTTAAGTTCTATCATAAAATACAAGACATATTGTCATTATTATAGTTGACTTGCTTTCGCAATAGATTTATATAGCTTCTTTTTGTGGCTCACTCATATCTTCTAGTATGTATTTTAGTCATATAGCCTGACTTATAGTTGTGGTAGTTGTAATATATTTAGCTTCATCCAACGATTATACAACTGTTGCTTATTTCTTTGATGCTCAAGTAAATATTCCTGAGTCTAGTGTGAATGTATATCCTAATGTGCTATTCATGTTATCCATTGAACTGACCCAATCAATATCAGTATATCCAACTAGTCTTGAGCAATGAATGGACTCATACTAGATGTCATAGTTTATTTTTCCTTGTAGATATCTAAGAATTCTCTTAGCTGCTACTTGATAAACATGGCTTGGACTTTGCATAAATATTCACAGTATACTTGTTGCATTCAAGATGCCGGGTCTTGTAGTTGTTGGATAAAATAAGCTTTCAATGACATTTTGATTGAATCACTATAAGAATTTTGCTTATCGATGGTCAAACACCATCACTAATAATATATAAAAAAAATGTAACATATTTATTGGTGGACTAGCTACGGTTTATTCGACATAACAAAAACGATTGTCGGTTATAACATTATCTGCGAATTTATCGATGGTTTATACTTATCAACGGTTATCAAACGTTCGTTGCTATTGATTCAATACCATAACATGTTTAACCATAGTTTTACCTTCAATAACATAATCGACTTATATAAATGTTGGAAAAGTGTTGCACGTTTGTAGAAAAAGTGTCGTGCCTCTGTTGGTAAAGTGTAGCACAATCGTCGGTTAATCATGGAAAATTATTGACAGTTGTATACGTAGAAATAGTGCAACTCTATTTAAACGTTGTTTGTTTGATAGCCCATAAAAAAACCTTCAGGACATACTCGAAGCGTCGTAAAACCGTCGAGAAGCCGTCGAAAACCTGTTACATTAGAAAAGAAATTAAAGTCCTCCTTCATCACTACAGTTTACACACCTGCAATTGTAACAACACAATCTACATACAACACAATGTAGTAATGAAACAAATTAACACACAAATCATATGCATAAATAAAAGAAAAACAGTTGCATTAAACCAAATGAAATGAATAAATGTCCAATAAAAATATTGTTCACAACCAATAAATAGTTTAACATAAATAAACAAAAAAAATAATCCCTACTCATCCTCCTCAGTCATCTCCTCATCATTATCCTCCTCATTCTCATCCTGAACTGGTTGCTTCCCTTTCTACAGTTCAGAACGCAACACCGCTTCATTCTCTACTTTCATCTTTTGCTCCGACTCCGATCTTAAGGTGATTATGTGGTTGAAGACCTGGGCAATAACCACATCAGTTACCTGGCGACGAGTCTCATCCTCATGTGTAGTAGAAGTAGATGCACCAAATGTGCTAGAAGTCGAGTAGGCATCATAAGGTTGAGCCTGGGAGCCCAACTCGTAGACCCTATCATTCTTCTTGCCACCGATAGCCTCCCTCCACAAGTCGTACTCTGAAGGACCGTGAGATGTGCCCAAACCATCGCCCGACTAATATGATCGACTCTCCTTGAGCCTCTAGAAGGCCTCCTACAAAAAAATATCATTAATAAAAGTTAGAGACTAAATAAACTTTGATAGTCTGAATTTAGTACAAATTAATCTTGTGAATTATGTGGGTTGCCTGAGATCTGCTGTCCACTCAAGATTGATCCGACCGCCGTCTGTGAGTACGCTCGTGTAACTCTGCAATTGTTAGCTCATATCTTTTCTCTAGAGTCTGTCAGTGTAATGAAATAATTAGCGTACATTTAATGTAAATAAGATTTAATGCAGAAAATAAGTCTTATCAACCTACTCTTGTACTCTGTATGTGGGAGCGCTTAACTAGTATGCTTCGAGGCCCCCATGCTCTCACAGTCAGAGCGACAAATCTACTTGGCATGCCCCCTCTTTTTTTGATACTCGGGAGACTTCCATGCTCTAAGCAGGGCAACAAACACATCCTCACTGAGCCACTAGAGGCACAACGAATATCGTTGAACTAGTCGTAAAGACGATCACTCATTTTATGCCTCTGAATGTGTGTCTCTTCTTCAAGGGGCCAGGACCACTGCTTCTGTAAATTGAATTAGAAAATATTAAATTCATAAAAATAAATACATAAGTTTGGAGTTTATTGCAAACTCACCAAACCATGTATCCTAAACTGCCATCAGGATCGCCCTCCAAGATAAATATGGTTATCACACTTGCTCTAAATAATGTCTCTGATGAAATGAATGGTCTGTGTGGGGGAGTAAATTTGAAAATAACATATGATTAGTTCTCAATTAATTAAGAAAAAACATAAAGTAGTAATGTAAGTTTTAAATTAAAACTTACGTGTTTCCTAATACTCCCTGGAGCTGATGATGACTGCTCGTGTTGTTAAAACTAGCAAGTGCTTCAAGAGCAACTGATAGTGATGGTGGTGTCGTGGTCATGATTGGTGATGGTGTCGTGGTCACGGCTGGTGGTGATGGTGGTGGTCGTGTCGTGGTCGTGTGTGGTGGAGGTAGTGCTTGTGGTTTCACAACTAGAGGTGGTGATGGTGTGTGGGAGTCGAGGTGGAGGCTTGCCGGGGTGCGTTGATCGCAATGATCGTCTCCACAAAACCACACCCACGACCTCATCTGTTGGCGGATTTCCACTCCTGATAAGAGAGAGACCTCCTCTCCCTCCAAAATCCATCAGAAAGTAAGAAAGTAAAATTAATTAGTGCAACTACATACTTCTAAAGCTGAAAAATACAGTAGTGTGCAGTAAAAACAATGAGAAATGGTAAATTGCATGCAATCTACAAACTACTAAAACTGAAAAAAATACAAGAGTACACAGTAAACAAAAAGAATAACTATAAAGTGCAATCTATAAACAATTGAAACTGAAAGCACAAGAGTATGTAGTAAACATATGGGAAAACTATAAAGTGCAATCTACAAACTATTGAAACTAAAAGCACAAAAGTACAAAGTAAAAAGAAAATAAAACAGTAATGTGTAATATACAAACCACTAAAACTAAAAAACACAGAATTACACTGTTAGTTTAACTTACACATCTTAGTTAAGTTCATACGATGAGTCACTAAGAATGTAGTTAAAATTACTTCATCCAAAACATTGTCAGAATCATTCTCATTGTTACAAATTTGTTTGTGTTCACCACTAGTGTCCTCTAAAATTGACCTCTTCATGGATTGCATCTAGTGGAATATATGAATCAGTTATTTCCATTTTTTGATGAGCATGTTCAATTAAATTCTGAATATCAATAGTCGTCGTAGATTTATCCGCTACGACTACTGCTCACTCAACTTTGTCTCTTATTCTATTGGAATATGGAAGATAAAATACCTGACTTGCTTGCCTTACTAGAATGAACTGATCAAATTTACCATATATTATGTTCAATTTTACTTCTATGATATTATGCATTTGTATTACCCTTGTTCCATGATTAGGAACATAATCAAACCAATCATAGTTGAACAAGAATAGACTCCCACCAATATAGCCAGAATACGATAGTTCAACAATTTCTTCGAGAATCTCATAGTAATCTATCTCATCATCTAATTTATTATTTATTTTAACACAAATGTCAGAATTAGAAGTATTTTTTTCTTTTGAGCAGAAGCTCATATGAAACTTGTAGACATTCATATTATAAATTTGCCAAATTTTTACGATGCACATGTGTCCCCAAGCAAGATCAATCAAGCCCTGATCTGTTACCCCATTATTCCGATCATGAATCTAGTAATTCATAAAAACTTGTGTCCTTGAAGATAGTTAAAAACAATTATCTTAGTTGTTTAATAAATTTGCTAAACTCTAACTTGCACTTGTTGTTAACCATCGAGAAAATTATTTTCTATCTCCTCATTTCTGATATCATCTTCAATCAAGTTCAACGAATCTAAGAATAGATTGTTATC